CTGCCTTGCGCCGTTTTCTCTTCGCTGCTGCAATGTCATGATTATACCAAGGGACCTGAGATCTAGCTTTCACAGTTTTGGTTGTCAGTGGTGCATGCGTATCTATCATACTTGTGAGGGTGGTGTTGTAGATGTTCACAAGCCTATCAAGATCTTCAGGGACAGATTGCTCTCTTGGTTCATTATAGCATAGGACACTGCTTGCCAATTCATGTTTGAAGCAGTCAATGTCAACAGCCTTGATCTTTCTATAGCTGATTGATTTAGTCTGTAATGGTGGGTTTTTTATGGCAATGTCAAAGTGAACTGATGTATGATCAGAGAAATAACTACAGCTGCGTGGTGGAAATGGAATGATGTTTTCTGTCTTACGTGTAATAACAAGATCAAGGATATGACCATGTATGTGAGTCGACTTTGTGACATGTTGCTCAAGCCCAAGGGATTCCAACAGATCATGAAATTTTACAGTATCAGCATCATCAGAAACGTCTAAGTGTATGTTGAAGTCCCCTAAAACGAGCAGGTGTTCCTTTGATAAAATAACGGATTCCATATATACTTCTCAGTCAGCTAAATAGCACGTAATATTTTATCTTTCCCAAATTCTTAATCATGTGAATTTTGCAGATGGCTGACAAACCACACAAACATATTTTTGATTTTCCCGAACACAAAGCAGTTGGGATAAGTTGGAAAAATTATCATGTTTAAACCAGTACTTTATGTTGCTGGAAGCATATACCAGCCTATACATAGTCATATTAAATAAATACACGGCCTATGGCTATGAATGTTTAGCTCCACGGTTAAGAGGATTTAACTTTAAATATAGTTAATTTATTAATAACTGACCCGAGGACAGTACGGGAAAATATCCAACCGAGGTCTAGCCTACGAACAGGCGTTTATTCAGGTGGGTCGTGGTCCCACCTGAATAAACGCCTGTTTGCAGGCTAGAGCACCAGGGGAGGTAGAGACTGCTGGCACTGGCCAATCAGAACACTCAGTGACTCAGACAACAACTTTTATTAATAGTAAGAGAAATCAGCTACAGATTTACATTTCACTGATTTGTTTACTATTTGATATATTGAAATGTTTATATCAAAACGTCCATATTATACACAAATTAATATATGAAACCTCTATATGTGTAAAACTATACAGTTTCCCCAAAATAAACCAAAACCACTTAAGATAATGATCATGTTGGTTCCTTTCAAAACAGACGTAATTTGAAAAAGATGGGTAGTCTGTAATGTTTCTTATTGGAAATTTCAAATGGCTTTCATTTTCGGAAATGCTTTTTAACAAACTATAATTATACACAATATTAAAATTCAAATATTAGAACAAAAGCTTAAAAATCACATAGTATTTAATTATGACCTTAAACACAGCAATTATTAGAAATTAATTAGAAAATTAATTAGAAAAAAGGTCAAATTCCCGCCTTCTTAAAATACTAAACAAGCAAATTCCCAAGGTATGCCGGGGGGGGGGG